TTTTTTTTTAATTTCTTTGAATATTTGTAAAATTTTTAAATTTTTGTAAAATTTTTATATTTTCCGTATTTTTTTGCTACTTAAAATTTTTTCACTTAAATTCATGCTCATAAAATTAAAGCACACAATCCGTCTTAGTACTTTATTAACTTTATTAAAACCACCATAATTCAATTTGATCAATTTAACTCTACTTTAAAAAAAAAAGTAAATAAATTGCCTAAACCCTAGCAGCTTACGCCGGCTACAATCAGACTAAAAAACCAAATTACGCACAAAACAGCGAAGCCACCTAACAATAAGCTTCCCAAACAAAAGCCCAAAACCCCCACAATTATGCTAATAAATCTCGGCAATAATACAAAAGTAAAAAATGAGCGCATATGTATGTACATACAAATGAAATCTCAACCGCAAGTTATCAATAAGTGCCATAAAATATGCAATACGTTTTCACTTGGCGTTGTAGACGGCAGCCGAGGCAGTGGCAATGGAAAACCATATGTGTTTCTTATATACATAAATACAGATGTACAGACATGCATACATTAGCGGTTAATGTTAACCCAGCTGGGAAAATGCATGGAATTTTGAAAATGTGTAAATAATTTTACAAGGAATTCACTTCGTTTGTAAGAACACACAAAAATGCAGTTACCATAACTAAACAACTTATATCTATAAACCACTAGTAGCAAGGAGATGTGGCACTACAGAGCCTTATTATGCGACAACACATACATGTGTAACATGGCGCTTTTTTCTACCTTTAGCAGATGCTTTATCAGACCCTTTCGATATTTTTGAAAATCTTTGAATAATGGCGAGTACAACTCAGCTTAGATTAGTTAAGACAGAGCGTGAGATTGAAGTCCATCGATGGCAAAAAAAGAATCGGGAAGATTAGTCGGGAGCGAGCTCGAACTCGATCTGTAGAAAAACGGAAATAGCGTATGCTTGAAAAAGGGAAGAGCTTGAGCTTGACTACGTAGAAGAAGTCTATGGTAGAAGAGTCGGGTGGACTAGTTAGCACTGAGCTCGAACTAAAATTTAAGTCCTTGAACTCGTGCTATAGAAAAACGAAAAGATCTTGATTTGTGTCTATGAGAGAAAAATAATCGAAAATATTAGTCAGGACCAGGCTCAAACTAAAATGTATATCCTTGAACTCGGTCTATAGAGAAAAGCATTCGATTCCAATGGACAGAGAAAAATACAGAGGCAGAGGCAGAGAAAGAGAAAGAGAGAGATAGAAAGAAAACAAACGTTCCTAAAGCATTTCAAGAATAATATCACCAAAATAACGCCTAAACATTTCATATTTCATGTTTCGTCGAATTGGTTTGGACAGTTGAGGCTGGTCGAAGAACATTTCCTTTTCTTCTGTGCAGTTCTTACAGCGCTAAACACAACACATTTTAGTAAAATTTTCTGCTCTAGCATAAAGCAGTTAAAAGTACATAATTTGGTAGATCTTTATGAGACATATTGAAAACCATTTAAGATGCGGTTTTGTTGCTTGTATAGTTCACTACGTTCATTGGGTTCACCGCTTTCGTCATCAATTTACCACTTTATCTTGAGCAACACACCAGATGTATACATAGCTCACGCATCGATATTTTCTGTTACGGGCTGATTGCGTTGTGCGCCGAAATGTTTGGTATCATGCTGTCAATTTAAGGATATGTCTTCATTGTCAATGTTATTTTCCATTGTTATTGTTGCGCCTTTACAGGCATGTATGCTGGCAGCGTTATTTTTTGTTGCAGTTAGGGTAGGTAAAAAAAAATACAATAAAAAAATTTGCCTTTCGCATCAATTTGCTAATGTCTACACGCAGCAAACGAAAATTGTCTATGTTTTATAAGCGTTTCCTTTGCGGGTTGTATATTGTTAGAGTCCCTACAACTGTAGCAGGGCATGTGTGTGGGGGAGGTGCTTAGCCGGAAAGTGCCATTAAAGTCGCGCGCACTCTTACACATATCGATTGGTGTGTCGCTCAGCGCCTCACATGCTATCATATATCAGGGAGAGAAACGAATAAAAGCACGATAGCCGCCGGCAACAAGCTAAAACATACGCAGATGATAATACGAGTCGATATAGAAGGTGGTTAACGCGGTATTTGTTGGTCTGACGAGCAAAAATTGAGCGCTGTGTAGGTTATTGTTCATCAGTACTACCTGCAGACCGCGCATATGTCGTTGCATACTATTCGGCTGCGCTGGTATTATGCCTTATTGAGTATCAGATTGCATGCTTGTCATGTCTAAATATTCGCAACTCAGTTGCTTATTCGAATGCACAGCTCAACGCAGCAATAACTGACTGCGTGGCCTACTAACTAATTGTTTATGACTTGTTGTACTATAGAGGTATGTTTGCTAGTTTGTCGTTATAGGAATCGCCAATAAATAGAGTGCACTTGAAGCTAACGATAATACAGCTGATGAAATGTGGAGAATATAGGATACTCGATTTGAGCTATAAAAGTTATTAGCGCCTAAATGTAGGCAAAGGAATAGCAACATTTCAAAAGTAATCTTGAGCAAATTTGGGTTCTTGGGCACATTTTGCCTTTTCGGGGAAGTATATAGAACTTTCTATGTCTTTCCCAATTTCTGGGGGAAAAAATCATCAACTAATATACAATTTTTTTTCATATCATTTACGTAAATACCAAATAAATTATAATCACTTTCTTAAAGAATTAAAAAAGGATGTATGATAAATCTAAGGAACATGAGCATACCATAAAAAGCTTGTTTAAGCTTAATTG